TTTTATGTGATTCCCAATTTAATTTGTAGTATTTGATATACCTATCTTTTTGCTTGCTTGATTTCAAACAAGAATCAATTATAAATAAAAGAGCGGCTCGCTCTAATTCATTTAATTTTATTTATTTGTGGAGTCAACTCTCTTCTACACTATTGTGTGTTGTACTAGTGCATTAATTAATTAGCGTTTGTTTAAACTCTGACAAAATCCTGGCCGGCCTTACTTGCTTTGTGGTGGATCCAAAGCTGTAAGCTACTAACTTCATTCTCCATTGAGTCAAAATAGTAAAATCATTGGCTTGAAACATATTTCTGATGCTTTTGTTCTCTTTTGTCCGAGGATGGTCACTTGTTTTAAGTGGGTAGAAGACGGAATGTATGAGAAGGTTCTAGACACCTTTACAAAGGGAATCCGAGATTGAGAATAAAAGGATCAAAGTGCATGAAGTGAAAGATATGGTCCTAAATTTGAAAGAGGAGATTGGATGGTGCAAAAATGAATTACGCAAAGACAAAATGAAGAACATGGCGATTGTTTATTATTTTTTTGGTTTGGCTATGATGATCATTTACTATTTTATGTCTCACAAGGGTGGTGGAAAAAACCTGCTCTTTGGTCAATAATGTTTTCTCTATTGGGTAGGTTTAAGCGATGAATGTAAGACTTAAGCTCATAAGTCATAATGATATTTGTAGAGCATCAATACTATCTCCATAAGTGAATGGCCTCTTTGCTTCATATTTGTTATCTTCATATGATAATGGATCTTCTCGTCGTCCCAAATATCATCTCCGCTATCATCAGAATTATGACCAGTTGCATCATCTTCACACGCATCAAGCCCAAAATGTTCTTCTAAGTTGTCGCAGATTTCATCATCGACGAGCTAATTTTCTTCTTCCTCTGAATTTCACCGAAACATTTTCTACCTCTTTGTATCCTATGCTATCTTCGACCATAACTGGACAATCACCTTCGTTCACACTAGAATCATATTCTAAACCCTCGTCGTCTACTATCTTGTCTGTAATTTCAGACTCTGCAACTCCATGCTTTGCAAATCCATCGTCTGCAACTCTCTCGAATTGGAAGCTTGGGCCTTCGTTTTTTCATGGTACTCTTGTCAAAATCAACGAATTCGATTTCAATGGCTCTGTGTCTCGACCAAAATTATTTTTGACAAGAAATCGCTCTAGGGATCGTAGGTTTTAATTTGACAGGGGAGGGGATTTGGGGATTTTCTGGATTTATGAAGTTTTAATCGAGCCATTTAACGTCTTAGTTAACTACTAAATGTTGACTATTATTTAGGCTAAAATTATTAAATCAACAACAAGTTCATGAATAAATTTGCTTACACAATACTTGGGAAATAAATGTGTTAATTGCAAACACTTATAGAGAATTGAATAAGCATTTTCCTTGAAATTATGACTCTTGGGAAAATACTTCTTCAATTAAACCAAAACAATTTATTATGATAGTTGGGATAGTATTTCTTTAATTAAACTAAACAAACAAAACCAAATTATCATTTCCTTGGATTTGAGCCAATGGGCTTAAAACCGAGTCCAATAAATCTAAAACCATTTTAGTTTAAAATCATCTAGGGTCAAATGTTGTTCAAACAATTTAATTTCAAACTTGTTCATTATGTAAGTCTACGACATCTATATATTTTTACGTCATATTTTGCATTTTTTAAGTTATCTATAAATTCTATAGCATTTAGTAAAAATGTAGTTTATAACTTGTACAAATATTTTCATTAATTTGATTTTAAGTAGTAATTTCTATAATAACGAAAATTGTAGTCCTTTTACTTTTTGAATTTTTAATATATATATTTATAGGTATCAAAATATGATCAATCGACATGATAGCTATCACGATGATCTGAATTACTAATTTTGAAAAAGAAATTTATATAGTCTATATATAATAGCAATCTAATAAATACCATTTGCACATCTGAACGGTTGCGTCTTTTTATCGCAACCTTTCGTTTAAATCGGTTATGTCTTTTTATTGAATTTTCTCTTTGAATTTTTGTTGAATTATTTACGGTTATATTTATTCAACTACAGTCGTATCTTTTAAGTTTACAGTTATATCTTTATAGTTGCATTCATTCATTTAAAGTTACGTCTTTCCATTATATAATTTCATTGCATTTTTTGTATAGTTAGTAATACTACGAAGTTTTTTTTACATCAACCATTAGACTACATATCAAATTGGTTTTATTAACCAAAATAACAACCTCCATAAATGCATTTTGCATTTCCGAACGGTTGTGTCTCTTTATCGTAACTTTCCGTTAAAATATTAATGGTTATTTTTTCGGGTGTGTTTTTTATCGCAACTCTTCATTAAAATATTGACGGTTATTTTTCGGTTGTGTCTTTTTATTGCAACTTTCCGTTAAAATATTGATTGTTACTTTATTCGTTTGTGTCTTTTTATCGCAGCTTTCCATTAAAATATTGACAGTTATTTTTTCTCGGTTGTGTTTTTTTATCGCAACTTTCCGTTAAAATGTTGCCGGTTATTTTTTCTCGGTTGTGTCTTTTTATCGCAACTCTTCGTTAAATATTGACGGTTAATTTTTTAGTTGACGGTTATTTTTCGGTTGTGTCTTTTTCTCGCAACTTTTTGTTAAAATATTAACGGTTATTTTTTTCGTTGACGGTTATTTTTTTGGTTGTGTTTTTTTCTCGCAACTTTCCGTTAAAATATTGACGGTTACTTTTTTCGTTTCTGTTTTTTATCATAACTTTTTGTTAAAATATTGACGATATTTTTTTCTCGATTGTGTCTTTTTTTGTCTTTTAAAATATTGACGGTTATTTTTTTCTCGGTTGTGTCTTTTTATCGCAACTTTTTGCTAAAACAGTTATTTTTTCTCGGTTGTATCTTTTTATCGCAACTCTTCGTTAAAATATTGACGGTTACTTTTTTCGTTGACAGTTATTTTTTCGGTTGTGTCTTTTTATCGTAACTTTCCGTTAAAATATTGACGGTCATTTTTTTTGTTTGTGTCTTTCTATCGCAACTTTCCGTTAAAAGTTTGACGGTTATTTTTTCTCGGTTGTGTCTTTTTATCACAACTCTTCGTTAAAATATTGACGGTTCTTTTTTTCGTTGACGATTATTTTTTTGGTTGTGTCTTTTTATCGCAATTTTCCGTTAAAATATTAACATTACTTTTCTCGTTTGTGCTTTTTATCGCAACTTTTCGTTAAAATATTAACGGTTATTTTTTTTCGGTTGTATTTTTTTTTTCCTAGCTCTTGTTCAAATATTTACGGTTACAATTTTTCATTGATGGTTATTTTTTCGGTTGTGTCTTTTTATCGTAACTTTCAGTTAAAATATTGTCGGTTTTTTTTTTGTTTTTGTCTTTTTATCGTATCTTTCCGTTAAAATATCGACGGTTTCTTTTTCTCGGTTGTGTCTTTCTATCGCAACTTTCCGTTAAAATATTGACGGTTATTTTTCTCGGTTGTGTCTTTTTATCGCAACTCTTCGTTAAAATATTGACGGTTATTTTTTTCCTTTTGTGTCTTTTTATCGTAATTTTTCGTTTAAATATTGATTGTTATTTTTTCTCGGTTGTGTCTTTTTATCGCAACTCTTCGTTAAAATATTTACGGTTATATTTTTCGTTGACAGTTATTTTTTCTGATGTGTCTTTTTATCATAAGTTTTCGTAAAAATGTTGACATTTACTTTTTTTGTTGTGTCTTTTTATAGCAACTTTTCGTTAAAATATTGATGGTTATTTTTCTCGGTTGTGTTTTTTATCGCAACTTTCCGTTAAAATATCGACGGTTATTTTTTCTCGGTTATGTCTTTTTATCGCAACTCTTCGTTAAAATATTGACGGTTATTTTTCTGGTTGTGTTTTTATATCTTTTTGGTTTTGACCCGATAGAATTTTTCCTCTCTATATTATAACTCTTCGTTAGTTATTTTGTCACTTATAAATAATTTTATATTCACAAAAAATGTTTCAAAAGTGTTTTTTAATCATAATTTGTTTTTTTACATTTTTATTCATAAATTTTTTTAATATCTTTAGAAAATATTTACGATATAACTTTATGACATAGTTAATTTTATATAATAATTCAATTATTTGAATATATTATAATAATAATTTAATACATAAACGTAATAAAATATATTTGTTGAAAATGAGTTCCCCCGCGATATCGCGGGGTTCATAACCTAGTAAATTTAATAATATTAACTTAAATAATTTTTTTAAGTACTAATTTATCTATGAACTAAAAAATCCAAAAACTCAAAACCAAAAAAAACTACACCAAAATCCAGATCAGACACGTTATCATTTTCAGGGGGCATTTTAGTAAAAACAATAGGTATAGTATTATTAACCAGAGAAATAGTCGTCGCTGACTAACTAGAGCCGTCGGTGGTTGGTTTCGCGATTTCGAGCTCCATCTCTTCCTGTCTCACCTAAATCTTCGGCGATCAACTTTTACTGCTCCGGTTAATCAATCTCTCTGGTAAACTCTTCCTTCCATTTATATCTTCCAGATTCATAAAATTTCTTTATTTTGAGAAACATAGGTTGATTATTCATTTCCTGGCTCAATTATCAAATAACTGTTTTAACATGAAAATTGAATCTCTTAGATCAATTTTAGTGTTGGTTCACTAAATCAAATATCCAATTATATGTTCATAAACTCATGACTCAGACTATAACAATTAGGCATGGGCATTCGGCATAACCCGTTTAAACCGAACCGAACAAACCGACGATTTCGGTTTTCGGTTTCAAACCGATTTACTGTTGTAAACCGATCGGCAGAATTTTAAATTGACTTCGGTTTTCGGATTTTTCGGTTCGGTTCATCAATTCCGATCGGTTTATTCGGTTATGGGAGACACCTTATAAAAATAGAAAACCCTAGATCTATACATCATCTTCTTTTTGTTTTCTAATCTCTCCTCCTCACGAGCCTTTTCTTTTCTCCTCTTCTCCAATCTCTTTTTTATCTTTGACCTTCTAATTCTTCTTCATTCTTCTCCTTCTTCTCCTTGTCTTCGTTCTTCTTCTCCACCTATTTGTTTCGTAAGTGTCTTCTATCAATCCTTCTTCTTCTCCTTGTCTTCGTTCTTCTTCTCCGCCTTTTTGTTTTCGTAGGTGTTTTCTATCAAGCCGCCGCGACATCACAGATCCATCTTCTCTGTTTTCGATCTTTTTCTTCTTCACCTCACCGTTTTTTTCTTCAATTCACTCTTTCAAAAGTGTTAAGACTCAATCATTGTGTGTGTTTTCAGGTGGCCATGGACAAAGAAGTTATTACAAAGATTGAAAGTGATGACACTTCATCAGTGGAGATCAAAGTGTTGCTATTCGCCAGAGCTCGAGAGCTCGCAGGCGTGCCTGATCTAACATTGAAGATGCCATCAGGTAGTACAACACAGAAATGTATGGATGAGTTGGTGCTTAAGTTTCCAAGCTTGGAAGAGGTACGTTGCTGTGTCGTTCTTGCTTTGAATGAGGAATATACAACCGACTCCGCCATTGTTCAACACAGAGATGAGTTAGCCATCATACCTCCAATAAGCGGCGGCTAATTCATCGGCACTGCTTAAATCCAACTCGGGTTTGTATTTTCATTGGCGATAATCCAAAATGTAACAGTTTAAGGTACTTTGGCGATAATCCAAAATGTAACAGTTTAAGGTACTTTTGTCACAAACAACACAGATATATCTGTCTTTTATAAGGGAAAAAAGGTTACATCAGTTTCTTGCTGTGTTTCTCTTCCCGTGGATCGATAATCATTCTAACAGAGAAAAGCAAGTGTTTATCACTGGTTCAGTAGCGACGTGGTCTTGAATGGTTGATACTATCTAGTGCCGAACCCAGAACCCTTCTACTATACTCCAAACTAGCTCCATTTGATACTCCTGGTGGAGGTGGCTCTGCAAAAATGCACAAAAACAAAAATAATTACAGATCAAAGTACATTAACTCTTATACTCCGAAAAACGAGTTCGAACGAAGTAAAGGTTCTTCATATCGTAATCTGTGTTGAATTCGGTAAAGAAGCAGCTAAAATTCTCTAAACTTCAGCAGCCAAACTAATGATAGCCATTAGATTAAGCAAACAAACCAAAGTACATTAAGTCTTTATACTCTTATACATAGAAAGACAAATAGAATGAGCAGAAGAAGGTTCTTGATTCCGTAAAGAAACAGCTAAATTCTAATAACTCAGAAGTCAAACTAATCATAAATTGAGACAACCATCAAGATTTTGGCTTACTTATGTCAATGCTCTAAACGAAAGCTTCTCGATCTTTTTCGTTGTTCGATATATCAAGAGAAACAAGTAAAAGAGAAACCTTGTGTGTAATCCAGAGGCAATGGTGAAGGTGGAGAAATCAATTGCGACGAAAACCTCTCCGAGTGATGATGATTATAACCTCTATCCGAATGCTCGAAAGCCAAAGACTGCGGTCTCGTCCTCTGACCGGAATTCGCCTGTAACTTATCCTGTCCAGATATCTAAATTCCACCAAACAAAAATCAAGAACCACAACAAAATCAAGAACCACAATAATCAAAGACAGAGAGAACAAGACTCACAGCGAACTTCAGATTCCGATTATAAAGCGAAACAAGACCGGAGAAAAGCTTAACGGCGTAATCAGCGATTTCTTCAGTCTCATACTCAGCAAAGGCAAAGCCTTTAGGTTTATCAGTTTCTTTATCACGAGGAATGTGTAGATCGATTACTCTACCAGCTTGAATCATGATATCATACAAAACCCTATCGCTTACTCTCTCGTCTACGTTTCCTGATTTTTCAAAATCATCATTTTCGAATTGGTTTCGAGAAGTTTTAACACGAGATCAATGGAGATGTGGGAAGAGAAACTTACCTATGTAGACGGTGCAATTGGAATTCGTAGACATTGAAGTTAATTTGTTGATCGGAACAATGGAAACCCTAAAGCTGAGAAGAAGATGAATTGAGAAATCAAAAGCTGAGTTTTGTGAATATTGAGGAGAAGAAGAAGAAGATGAAGAAGCTTCGAGAGGGTCGAATTGTAATTTACAAAATTTGAGAAAATGACTAAAATAACCTCAAAAGTATTCAAATAATAACTAACTAGGATTTAACCCGCGATCAAACTAAACGAACATAAATATTTTTCGTAATCATTTTTCTGTGTTGACAACACAAAGCCAAAACGACGGGTTGCCGGATTTTTCAGCCCCCAACTCGTCTCTTTAGCTTTGTGTTTTAGCTTTTGTAATGACTTTGTGCTTTAGCTTTTGTAATGACAAAATGACTTTGTGCTTTAGCTTTAGATTTGTGCTTTGTGTTCCTTTTGTAATGCTATGATAATGATGCAAGAATCCCCCTATTAAACTTGAGGAACCATTGTTGTTAACATCTAAATAGAGACATAATGATCCGAGAATAACATCCAAAAGATCAACATCCAAAAGATCAACATCCATAACATACAAAAAGATACTAGGTGTTCTGATCTTACATATTCTAAACACAAGAATAGTTGGGGGCTGAAAAATCCGGCAACCCGTCGTTTTGGCTTTGTTTTGAGAAAAAGAGACGAGTCAAAACGACGTCGTTTTAACTCTCGGGTCATGGGTACTTATGCGGGTAATCCTAATCGCGGTATAGTAAACGCGGATTTGTGGTTAAACCCGGTTTAATGGCCGGTTCAATTGGAGGCGTATTAATCAAGATGAATCTGAAAGTTGAGGATGTTTTATTAAGGAAATTGTTAGTTGTTGGTGATTTTTTAAGAGCGAAAAGTATAGGGGGATTCTTTGAGTTTGCAAATAGTTGGGGGCTGAAAAATCCGGCAACCCTACTTATGCGGGTAATCCTAATCGCGGTATAGTAAACGCGGATTTGTGGTTAAACCCGGTTTAATGGCCGGTTTAATTGGAGGCGTATTAATCAAGATGAATCTGAAAGTTGAGGATGTTTTATTAAGGAAATTGTTAGTTGTTGGTGATTTTTTAAGAGCGAAAAAGTATAGGGGGATTCCTTGAGTTTGCAAATAGTTGGGGGCTGAAAAATCCGGCAACCCACTAAAAAAACTCAAAGTTGTTAAATGAGAAAATGACTAAAATAACCTTTAAAATATTCAAATAATAACTAATTAGGAATTAACCTGATCAAATTAACAAACATGAATAGGTTTGGTAATCATTTTTCTGTGTTGACAACAGAGCTCTATTTTACTAAATTATACGCAAGAATTTTTTTCAGAGAGCTAATCGAAAACTATTAAGTTTACATGAGTAAAAATGAAATACATAATTTATTAAGATTTTGAAATAAATTGTTGTCAAATGGGAAAATGACTAAAATAACCTCAAAAGTATTCAAATAATAACTAACTAAGATTTAACCCGCCATCAAATTAAACAAACATGAATATTTTTGGTAATCATTTTTCTTTGTTGACAACAAAGCTTTATTTCACTAAATTATACGTAATAATTTTCTTTTTTAAGAGAGCCAATCGAAAACTATTAAACTTACATGAGAAAAAATAAAATACATAGATTGATGTAATCATAACGAACCATAACACTCAAACAAAGATACAAAAATAATTTATACAAAAGTAATTGTAGAGATAATGAGTTTCATCACGAAGATAAGCTACTCGAGTGACATAATTAAACATAAAATTGAAGTTTTGGGGCTTATATTGTTTTTTCAGATATTTTAATCCGGTTAGGTACGAAATTGATGAAATTGTTAGACATTAACAACATAAAAGATATATACAACTTGAATTTAAATATAATGGGTATAGAATACATTGTCAAAAACTTTCACATGTGTTATTATAACCAAAAACTCAAATTGGATGGGGTTGTGTTTAGAAATTAAACTTTGTGTGAGATTAAAACCAGCCAACCCTTAAAATTCTATAAGATTCACTATAGAATCATAAGAATTTCACTTTATATTTTGAATACTAAAAACTTCATGAAATTCCTGGTAGGTTAGTTGAGGTCATGAAGAGCGATTGATATATAATTTGAATTCTCAATAGCTTTATAATGAGTTATAGAACACTACATATTGATGAATGATTAGGTGAAAAATGAAACTAAGATTCAATATGAAATGATAAAATTCATTAGAATTTTTTTTTTTTATCGTCAAACAATACCTCAAATGAACTCCAAAAATTTATTAAAATACACAAACTACGTGTTGAATATGAATTCATATATGAAATCAATATGTCTAAAATGGCGAGTCAAACAAACTTCGCTAATTAATTGTAAAGTCAACAAAAACTTTATGATTTAAATGTCTTCATCGTAGTCCAAGATTAAATCATCCCAAATTTGAAAGTTCATGAATTTTTGACATTTTTCCCTTTTTATATCTTACTTTTTTTTTTTTTTTTTTACTTGCAAGAAACTTGTTTTTCTTGATAAATATACTTAACACTCACTAAAAATAGATTTTTATTTTATTAGAAAAATACAGAAAAAAAAAACAAAAAATGGAAAGGAAATATATACCAGGGAAAGTCAATGAGATAGAAAAAGATTAGTGTGTGTTGTACGAATTGATGATTTTTAGAAACTTGAAGTTGAATGTGTCAATATAAACAAGAAAAAATGGTTGTGGTTGGAAAAATTGATGATAATTAATATCTTTTAATTAATATGTGGTTGAAATTGTTTTTTTTTTAATTGCATCGAGAATATGTGGTTAGTAAAAATGCTATTTTTAGTCAAATTAATAATCAATTATAAATGAGATTTTTACTCATTTTTAATTTTAGTTTTATTTCAAGAACGTTTTATTATGATTACACATATAATTATTTCATCGTGTCCCACTCAGGGATTAACAAATTACTCAAAATACCTAGTTCTATTCAAATCATAGCTAGATATAGTAATTACCACCTAATAAATTTTATAAGTTCTGTAAATAAATGCAAGTGCATATATGCAATCATATATTTAAAATCGTCATTGCGAATATTTCGATTTGGTATATTATTTATCATAATTTCAAAATTTTGGCGATGATAATGATAACGGGTTATATTGCGTTTTACATTCGATTTTGTGGGTTTGTCATGCATTATCTTTGGAAGAGCTCGTAGTGAATGCCCAATGCATCCGCTGAACTTGGGCGAGAGATGTGACTCCAAAAAAATGGAGTCATCCATAAATGGTAAATTAAGTGATTTTTTTTTTCTTTGTAACTTGTGAGTATTAGAGCACCCCCAACGGTGGTATGTTATTGTTAAAAAATTAAAAGAATGAAAAAGTAGAACTGAGCAAAGAAAATAGAAGAAACGTATCTAGTTTTAGATACTTCAGAGCCTCTTTAAGAAACCTTTCCCTTCTTCTGTCTTCTTCTTATTGGTCAATTTTCTTTTATCATTAAAATATTAAATACTTTAACTTTAAGAAACTCAAATGAGTCTCTAACTGATGAGGATGCTCTTAGCGTTCTTGTGCCAAGTGTTCCTCTGTGATTTGATTCCTTCTTTAAACATCGATCTTTACTATTTTCCCACGGGAAAAATGTCGAAAAATGCGCGAACTTTCAAATTTGGGACGAAAAAAGCATGAACTTTCAAATGCGCGAACTTTCAAATTTGGGACGAAGTTTAGTTTGACTTTTTGATAAAATGGTCAAGTTTCGTTGACTTAGCCATTTTGGGCATGCTGTTAAATTTCTGTTAACGGAACGATCCCAGGGTTAACTTTCTGTTAGCAGAATAATCCACATATTTAAATAGTTATATATAAACTGATTACAAGAGATTACGGTTATGTTGGTGTGGCTAGGTGGTAACGCATGAGGTTTAGTACTCACAGAACGTGGGTTCAATGCCAATCATAAGCAGGTTTTTTCTTTTAACGTTCTCCCTAACCCTAGCCGCCTCCTTGTGAGGAAATCAAATGCATCGAGACGGCCTTCGAATCAAGACCAGCGATTTCGATTAAGGAGATCGGGAAATCGGATCTCGTAATAGTGAAGGGTCAGCAACGGGAGAGTAAGGATGTAGATTTGCAACTGATTCGGAAATTGGCGTCATTGGACTCTTGGGAAAGGAAAGGGAAGAAGAGGGCGACGGGGAGAGAAAAGGGAAGAAGACGGCGACAGGATTGAGGTTACGGATTCGAGTTGAGATTCGAAATAGCCTCCGACGTACTTTGAAAAGTCCAGTTTTGATGTTGATGACGTAAAAAAAATTAAAAATGGAAAAACAAAAAAAATTGAAAAATCTCTCGTGAAAGGTGGCTCGGAACCGGGTTCACTGAAAAAGCAGCACAAACAATACCACTAGGCCATTCAAATATTCTCAAAAGATTTATAAACAGGTTCTATATATCTATTTGAAAACGTAGGACGGAAAGTTAACCCGTGATCGTTCTGTTAACGAAAATTTGACGGCATGCTCGAAATGGCCAAGTCAACGAAACTTGACCATTTAATTAAAAAGTCAAACCAAACTTTACGATTTAAATAACATTTCGAAAGTTCATGTTTTTTTCGTCCCAAATTTGAAAGTTCGCGCATTTTTCCCATTTTCCCACCTATGTAAAGTGTCTTTAGCAAACAAAAACATTGTTTTGGTCCTCTTTGATTGATGAAGTATTATACAAACTTGGCAGACTCCCTGGCCCGCACCTCTACAAACTACAAAACTAAATTCAGATTTAGTTAAGATTCTTCAAGATTTACTCAGAGAATTTAATTTTAAACTTGAGAACCCCGTGACAAAAAAAAAAACTTGAGAACCAAAATTTCATAGTAAAAACAATCCTAGCTTAGTGGAAGTTACTGAGAGAGATTGATACCATTAGATTTAAATTCTCAATGTTTTCTAATGAGTTATAGAGCACTACATGTAGTACTCTGAATCAAAATGCCTCACCGATGAATATTTAAGATCGGTTTGAAGAAGGAAACAATAGAGAAATCGAGATTTTAGATAATATAATTTCTGTGTTTTGTTCTATGTTGCATGGAAACTCTCTCC